AAAAAAAAGGGGTGTAGGAACTCATCAACAATCTTTCTACAATATGGAAGCTTAACATGAAGTATTTAAAAATAAATTAGGAAATGAAATGTACCCGACAGTACCTACATTTAACTCTTGCCGACTTTTCATTTCATCGACTAAATTTGGGCCAACTATGAACCACCATATTTTTTAGGCAACAAAATCAATTTCTTTTAGGGAAAAAAAGAAAGCAATAAATATTTAGATATTATCGACTAAATTCAAGCCAGCCGGCTCTGCATGCACAGCCGGGAAACCATTAACATATATAGATTAAAAAAAAGAAGATATGTATACAAATTCTTTTACCAAATCGAGAATGCCAATTGTATGTCAAAATCTTAAGGACTGTATTCAATTGGATTTCAAGTGACATTTTGAGATTTTTTTTTTTTTTCTTTAGAAATCCCATCAAATCTTTAATCCTCTTTACCCATTCATAGTTTTAAATAAGTTAAACATCTCAAGATTTTGTAGCTTTTTTTTTTTCATAAATCTCAATTGAATACCTCAAGATTTATAAAAGTCTTAAAAAATGGTAACAAATTTTAGATTGAATACACCATAATTTAGAATTTCTAAAAGTCTTAAAAAAATATTTAGAAATCCTAATTGAATACACAATTTTATTTAAGATTTTCAAAGAATTCCCGTTAAAACATTAGCTCAATAAAGCTCCATAAAACATAGAGTGATACACACAACAAAGCGAGTAAACTTATATTTTGGTGGAATGCACTACTAAATAAGATTATAATTAAAAATTTACACACCATTCTCACAAAAATATGTTTACAGCTAGGGTTTCTACACATCTATGTACAACTTGCAAACAAATCAATGATAAAAAATAATGGTTAAGAACTCAAACTAGATATAAATAGAGCAGTCATAAAATCCCAATAACGTAATTTCAACATTTTATATGCAATCCAATCTCGTCAGCCTAAGTCATCTACATTCTTCTGCATTTAACTTTAACGAGGATTGATTCTTAGCTTCCTCAACTCCGCCTGGAAGCTAGAGTTCGTCTTTAGTATTCGTTGCGCGAGAGTCCTTATATCCTCCCGCGAGCAATCTCGGGAAATACGCACGAGCTCCCATAGGGCGCCTCCAACAATCATTTCTTTTGCATTAACCTCTGTAACAAAGTAATTCTTGCATTTCAGATTATTTTTATCGAAGTATTAAGTAAATGTCGAATGAAATAAAGTTTGTTTACCATGTTGACCCAAATGGCAAAGTGCCAGCTCAATGTGACGCCTGATTGGTGAGGCTTCGTTATTAGCATTCTGCACGATCCAAGGAAGGACACCATCTTCAATTAGGACCGATCTCCCGCTTCTTGTCCCTGTGGCAGTAAATAAACAGTGTAACGCATAATTAAGCTGTAATGCTTAATAATACACAGCGAAGAACATATCTATCTGAGTGTCATAAAAATCTAGCTGAAATCTCGTTTCACTCGCGATGAATCAGTAAATAAGGACGAACCAGAAGAAACAAACTCGATCAATAAAGATAGGTAAGTATAGGTCTAGCGAGTATATTTGTTGAGACACGGATAGAGACTAGGATTCTACATTAATGCATTCAAATTTTTTCATTTATTAGAGTTTCTAATTATTTACATCAATTTTGGAGTTTATTTCTTGTACGACAAGTTTATGTTGTGAGTATAAATAGAAAGCAGATGATTATTGCAAGGGTAGTCATGTGTTTGTTGTTTGTTTGTTCATTCGTTGAGCTCGGTATACTTCAACCATTAAGAGAGAAGCATGTTTCTAAGAGAAAATTTGGTTTTGCTCAGACAACTCAAAAAATTTAGCTGAAAATAAGCACCAAAAGACTATTATATGAAATATTATGGAATGGGTCGCATATAAATATTTCCAGTGTGAGGAAGCCAACTAGGAGAGCCTGAGTGCTTTACCTTGAGAGGATGCCCTAGACTCGCATTTTGCAAAGTTTGCAATCCCACGAGCCACCTGGGCAAGAACATCTGGATGTCGGCATCTGACCATTCCCAGCAGGGCCTTAATACCACCTTCAGCTCTTAGTTCAGCGAGCAACTTGTCTGAAGGAAAACCAGAAGTTAGTAACACAGTTTATCGACACTAGAAATCAAAACTAAATAAGAATGAAGAATCAACTGGGGCAACATCATATAGATATAATAGGTAATTGTAAAAAGCGAGCTAGGGCTGTAAATAATCACTTTTAATGAATCACTTTTTTTAACGCAAATCTAAATCAACTTTATCTCAACCCCACTATATCCTCAATATTATCAACATAATTAAATAATATCACTCGATCATTCTTACATATTACATCAACTTTAATTCACTATTTATCCACTCATAAATTTTTAACTAACCATCAATTCATATCATCTCTCTCATACTTTTACATCAAATCAGCTTTAATTATTTTATTTTAAATATTACTTTAATATAAACTCGAAATGGAACTAACAATAACCACACCACTTCTTTCAAAATTAACCATCATCAACATCAACATCAACATACCCAGTATATTCCCAACAGTTCTGGGGAGTCAGTTGTACGCAGACCTTACCCTTGTAATTATACAAGGAGGCTGTTTTCATAGCGAAACTTCACTAATAGAAGAAGCACTAGAATTAAATTGAGCCATTTTGATCTAGTCCATTATTAGCATGCCAAGAGAATTGTCAACAATGATTCTTCCAGCTCCATATGCTCCATATGCAATGGACATTTCTTTCAAAATTAACCATAGCAAACCAAAATATCCAAACAAAATCAATATATTTTATATCCAGAAGGCCGAAAAATGATATCCGAAAAACTGAATTACGTAGCCATCCCTCTGAGATGATATCGTCCCAAAGAGCAATAGTGTCCTGATAACTGATTATTGAGGCTGGCAGAAAGAGTCACGATTACTTACCATTGCCACAAAGATTAGCAATAGCTCCAGCAACCATGCGGAGGGTCTGTGGATCCTCTGCCTTGGCTGCTATCACTGACAACAAACTTATGCCTCCTTGACACATAATGAGCTCCTGGTTTGTCTCTGCCACCACCAAAATATGCACAGGTGAAAAACCAAGTTTACAATTGATGTCTCACATACACAGATGAAAATATACCGTTCATTGCAAGATTTGCGATAGCCCCAGCTGCAACTCGATGAATAGTCTCATCATTTGAACTTTTAAAGAGAGCGAGCAAGCATGTCAGTCCGCCAGCTTCAACAATCCTTTCCTGGTTTGACTCTGAAGATTAAGACAAGATAATAAGTACATTTCCAGGCGCATTAGGGAGAAAAGAAGTCGGCATTTGAGTAGACCAGTGCATGACACGTTATATTCATAAATCCAGCGAATTCATGATCTGATGGAAAGAGGACAAGAACCATTCATACTTCCGTAGTTACTGATAAATCAAACAAACAAGTGCTGGGAGCCTGGGACAGACATGGAAGTTGGCTCAAGAAAATAAATAACAAACGACAAAAGAACCAGATTCAGCTTGTAAGGTTGACAACCGCACGAATTTTACTGATGAATCATACGCCATTTTATAGTGTGACTGGACAGAACTTTAATGGTTGTTATCACAGAAATATTGCGACAACCACTTAAGTGGCTAAGTTCGTTTGGGAGTTCCTGCAAACACTGATGAAATATATAAACAACAAAAAGGGAAAAAAAATGATGTTTTGAACTTTTAGCTGAAAAAATATATGTTTCAGTATTTGCAAATGCCAGCTTTTATTTTTCTTTCTGCTTCATCTAATTCAAAATCCAAAAAGGTATGGTTCTCTCTTTGGCTTTTTTTTTTATAAATCCACCCAATTTAGCATATATCACTCAAAGGTGGATGCTTTTGCTTTTTTATCCAAAAGCTCAAGTCTGAAAAGCTATTTTCCAGAACAATTCAACTTTCACTTCTTCAGCTTTCAAGCTTCAAGTTGCAATTATTACCCACTTGGTTTGCATCTACTCTATTTCTTACTTCAAAATCATGTAGAGTAAGAGGAGGAGAAGGAACAGAAACATAGAAAAAAATAAATATTAAAATAATTTGGCCATACCTTCTGCTGCCAGATTAGCAACTACTTTAACAGCATGAATGCGTACATCAGCATCTTCAGATTCAAGTAATGATAATATTTTGTGCAGCCCCACTGTTACAGCATGGTATATTCCAGCACACAAGATTAGAGTAATATAATTACAAATAAAAATAATTGGAGTAATTTCGAAAAGGTACAGTCCACCACCTTGTTCAAATAGTTTAACCATTGAAGAGCTCTCTCCATCTCCCGACTCTCGATGCTGTTGACTTTTTGTTTGGAGAATTGGAAAGTCCAGGGAGCTTGGTACATTTCCACTTACACCCCTATCAAGATTTCTTCGTGACTACAAATTCGAAAAAATTAGAAAATCGATCATTCCTCACACGCAAATATTGGATGTACATGCCTTTTCTTTTGGAAGTTTAAATTCATTTGGAAATTATACTATTGAACTTGAAATCTTGCTAGAGCAGTTAATGCAATATTATTGTTTCTTTTAATAATACTCCAGAATCATGAACAAAGGAACACTCATGCTGTCATTCATCCCAAACAATCAAATTCTTATAACAATTTGGGTAACCAACTCATCCCTCCTCTCATAAATAGGAGGAACTGCCACATGGTGACATAAATCCTGTATCTTACATATGTCTTCTTAAGAAAACATAACTATCAGGGTTTTTCTTCCAAATCAATAACGCAGGATACCAGAAAATAGGTCTTATACACTATATCCCACCCCCAAATAAAAGAGAAAAAAGAAGACTGAAAAGCACTGAAAAGGAAAAAGAGCATTAGTTATCATTTAATAACTTTTCTCAGGATTACACATGGAAAAGTCACTGGCCAATAAACAAAAATTAACAACCAAAATTCCCAAGGCCACAAGGTTCATTCAGCAACTAGAAGTTTCAGAGGTCCCAAATCTTTTGATTCCCCAAACCCAGAGCCAAAGAGAGAAAAAAATATTGAGATCAAAACAACAACAACAACAACAACAACATACCCAGTATATTCCCAACAGGTTGGGGTCTAGGGGGTCAGTTGTACCCAGACCTTATCCCTGTAATTATACAAGGACGCTGTTTCCATAGCGACCCAAGGTGCATTGCGTCGTTTGGTATATTTTTTTTTTTTTTCTAGAGACTTCACTAATAGAAGAAGCACTAGAATTTAATTGAGTAATTTTGATCTGGTCCATTATTAGCACTATGCCAGGAGAATTGTCAACAATGACTCTTCCAGCTCCATTTGCAATGGACATAAAAAAATATTGAGATCCAAAAAAAAAAAGAAAGAAAGAAATGAACAAACTACGGGAAAAGATGAGAGACATTGGCAAGCGGGGAACAGTTAAAAGAAGTTTCAACAAGGTAGAAAATTGGAATGGACACACATCTTATATATGATATGCTGCTGGACAGATGGAATCCTTGGATCCAGATTATAGTACATTCTTCTGGAAAAATCACATTGAAGTCTGTTAAGACCTGCTCACCTCATCTGCTTCGAAACTAATCTGCAATAGCTGACTTTGTAGCATTTGGATTTCTTCTTCAAGTTTTGCCTTTTGAAGTTCTTCATCTTCAAGCATCTCACGGAGCTTCAAGATTTCAGCACTTCTGGCAGCCTAATTGCACAACTAACTGCTATTAGCGATCAAGTTAAAGCTTAGCAAGGGAAATCTGTATGAAAAAAATAAATCAGTGCAACAAACACCTCAAGTGTTTTCCAGTGACTTAATTGATTTTCAAGATTATCAACTTGGGCTTCTGCAGCTTTCCGTAAAAGAGTTTCATTCTGAAGCTTCTTTTTAATCTCAGCAACTTCGCCGGAGGCAAACAGCATTGGAGGCTGCAGGACAATGTAATTTAGTCCTAGTATGTAAAGAGTACAGAAAATTTGTGAAATGCAACTGCCTGAAATAACCATCAGAGAGTACTATTCCGCACACATAAGGAAAGAAGATCAAGATGCAGTTATAAAAAGGCAAGAATATTATTAACTGATTTATGCATACACTATTCCTAGGATACAGAAGTTCTGAGGTTGTCGTGCTCACTAATACCTTATGGGGATAAGAGTTGAAAAGACGGCGAAAGAACAATCTAAAACAACAAATAACAGAGAGAGAAAACACATAGAATATTACAAACTACTTAGTTTCCGACTCAAAGGTGTATTTTGCTAAATTAAGCCGTACATTGTTCATGTGTTATTTTACACCATATTTATAGAGTATTTAGAGCTTAGTCATTGCATTATTGGTGTATAAATTGCATATTTGTGCTTTAATTCTCTATTTGTTAGAAAGGTATTACATGTGCTTGTTTTGTAGATAGAGCTTGTGGCTATTGGAGGCACACGTTGAGTACCTAGGACCCCTGTGATGATGAATGATTGATGCACGGATGAGAAAAATGGAAGAAACGAGCGAAACGGACAAAAGCGTGCATGCAGGGGTGTGACACGAGCATCATGCCCATGTCAGGTGGCCGTGTCACCTAACTGAAGTTTTTCGAAGCTTTTGAGATGACACGGGCTGCGACACGGCCAGTGACACGGGCAGACTGGCCGTGTCGCGTGCGTATGCTAATTTTTAATTGTTGTCTTTTTGGATAAGGAGAAGACTTTTGGACATATAAAAAGGTATATTTACCTTATTTTGAGGAGGAACGTGGAGAACACAAGAGAGGAGCCCTAGAACACACAAGAGAAGCAATTGGGAAGCAAAAAGAAGATGAACTACGAAGGGATCAAGAAGATTGAAAGATCGACAAGATTCCTAGTTTTTATTTCTTCTTTCCTTTTGAACTTTTATTGATCATGTCGATTTCTAATATGTCTATGTATTTGAATTCGAACATGAGTGGCTAGATTTATTGATTCTAAGACTTGGTAGTAGATTAATATGCTGGGATTTTGAATGATTAATTTATTTATAATTAATTATTTTTCTTTTGAACCCTATTCAAATATTTTGTTCTTATTCCATGTTTAGCACTTGGCCAATGCTTTTGCATGTTTGACAATATTGTTCATAATTCGAGAGATGAGTTCAATATTAGGTCTTTAATATTTGACACAATTTACTTGCTTGAATCGAGAGATTAGTAGGTCGTTGTGAGGATATTAGATCTTTTGTTCTATTTGGAGTTGAATTGCATGTGTTGAGTGGAGAAGCTAATTTATGTGATTTAATCTACGGTTTTATCGATCTCGAGAGGGACGATATGCTAAATTTGTGATGATCTTATAGGGTAGATAAAGGAAACATTTAGTTGTGATATTTCTGAAGAATCCTAACTGTTAATTGAACCCAACGTCTTAGAATCTATCGTTCCCATATATTTTCTCACGTGTTGATCTAGCTAGTTCTTTATTTTTGCTTTATTCGCTTTGATTTATTTTCTTAGTTTAATTTATCCATCTCATATTCGATCGTCTAAATAAAGTTAACACCATCATCATCTAGTACTTGATATATTAATTATTTGGTCTCTTGGGATACGACCTTGCTTGCCACATACTACGAGCGAAGCCGTACACTTGCGGTCAAGCTTTAAAAATATAGGCGAACATACATCCCTATGCCAACACTTATAATGTGACAAGATGAAAACCAAGAACACTACTAGTTGTGAGCTTAAAACAATTTAAGTTTTGAATCGAGTATAGAACACCAACAAAGCAACAATATACATAATAACTGAAGCACAAAATATTACGAAACTAATACTCATAATATATTGATTAGACATATTAGTAAAGAAACTTCAAAGTTTTAATTTCGGTAATGAAACTTAAGGCCTTGATTCGGTGTCTGGGATAAATTTATAAAAGTTTTGCTGAAGAACTTATTTAGTGCCAACATACGATTGCATGTGATTCAACCACTATTTTACATCACATCAATTTTCATCATCATAACCTTTTACCTTAACCAATTCACACAACCTGAAATTCAAATTTATTTTCAGTATTCTCTCCTATAGTAAGGATAAAGAGCAGAACGAAAGCCAAACAATCACATTCCTAATAGAGTAAGAACATGCTTAGTATAAGTTGAATTTATAAACCAAGCATGCATCCCAAAACATAAATTAGGCATAAGGAAGTCTATAGTTATGACTGCTATAAGAAAGATCAAATAAACAAGCTTAGTTTGTTTAGAATATTGATTCCTCTGCTCTTTGAAACTCATCATTGGAAAGGGCTTGATATTGTGAAGGACCTAAATTTCAAAATAAAGTATAAGGAAGTTCATAGTTTTGATAAATGAACAGGCTTAGTTTGTTTATAATACTGATTCCTCCGTTCATTGGAACCCATCATTAGAAGGGGCTTTATGAGTGCAGAACCATTAGTGAAGGACCTAAACCTTGTTACTTAATGCCGTGGTACGGTATTGTGCTGATAGTTATAACATCGTCCACTTGATATATTAGCAAAGAGTAGCAGAGTAACAAACTAGTAGCACCATATGAAGGATTCTGCAATGCTACAAACACAAACAAATACTCTAAGTCACATACCTCCAACCTTGATTTCGGGTCCATTCCATCACTAAATGACTCAAGTTTGACTTGTCTATGTCCATGCATTTTTTCCTTTGCCGCCCATTCTTCCTCCAGCTTCTTCACAGTTTCCACACACTCTTTCTGACACTTCAATTTTTCCTTCTGAGAAAATAAAAAAGACAATGTATTGAAAACATGGACCCCAGAGTATACAGATCACAATTGGATAGGATAAGTTTTAAATACATGGTAACATATTTGGAAAACAAAAAATATTAAAAATTTGCCTCCAGAATCTCATTCACATACTGCCTTACGTACCTCCAATGCATCGCCATAATTCTGTTCTGCTTCAGAAACACGCTTTTCTGCTTCCAAAGCTATTCTTTCAATCTCGCCATGAAAAGCACTCTGTTGCCTTTCATGTTCAGCAATTAGTTTGTCCAATTCCATTTCAAGGCGCCTTGATAAACTTTTGTAATCGAATTCTTCTTTAATTTTTACCATATTCTCTACCTTCATGGCCTGCAAAATTACAACAACAACAACAACTAATGCAACATTAACAAGAAAAATATAAATATAACAATAACTAGAGTATCACTAGCCCCATTTTTTATTCTCTCATATTTTCATCATTTATTCTTTTCAAAGTCCCATAGCCATTTTTCAACTAATTGATATCAACCAGAAATAGATGGCTACCATAATTGTCAGCACATGTTACCTACCAATATGAAAGGTTAGAAATAGCCCAATAAATCTTATATATCTGTTCTGTGCATCTCTGTGCATCCCATATAAATAGGAGACATTAATATCTAGGTGCCTGCAAAGATATGTTTGTTACTGGATGTATGAATATTTTGTTTCCATGTATATCCCCTATTCTGTTTTTTACCTTGACCAACTGTTAGAATAACCACGTAGAGGGATGAACAAAAAAACAAGCATAGGGGCAAAGTGAGATATCCAATATTTTAACTATACTAACCAACATACATTCTTTGCCTAAAGTAAAGAGATGAGGACGTGCCCATAATAAACTGTGGCCTGTCTTTCTGGGGCAGAATGAGTGATACCCAATTTCTGAAAAGAAAGAAACGCTGAATTTACCCGTTGTCCAAACATGATGGTGCTAGATGTTTCTCCTCGGTGGCGTGGTGATGGCCCAATTGTTATGATCAATGAGGTTCTCGCTGTACCTGAGATATGAACATTGGATAGGCTGTTATACAGTTACAAGTCAGGCGAAGTTACTATCCTTAGAATTGTTTCTTGGTCACTCGACAAAAATTAAGTAGACAACCATAGTAAAAAATATGAGATTACAATTATTTACAAACAACGAGCAGTTATTTTGCACCAGCTGCATGTAAGAAAATTTATGAGTGGGGCCAGATAATCTGATTATGTCTTATTCTCTTGATACATCCCTAAATAGACAAGATTATGGAGGTGAGATCATTGAGGGGACTAGTGATTTGATTATTAATTAAAATTTCATTTCCTTCACTGATTTGATTGACCATTCGAAGTTCCTTTCCTCTTCAAGTTAGTTTATTTGAGACATTTCTACTTGAAAATGCTTATTTGCAGCATGATTTTGTGTTAGCAGCCTTATTTAATGCAAAGTATCACCTCCAAAAGAATCTCGAAGCAATCTTGTCAGCTTTGAATCTCGAACGGGAACATGGGCACTATTCTCAGCCAATGCATTGATACACTTCCCTAGTGCACTCAAAGAGAGATTGATAGACTTGGCTTCATCCAATGTATGACCTTCACTCCCTGCCAGAAGGAAGCAAATCATTATAAAAGTAGATAACAAAAAGATTACATACAGAACCATAAAAATGCCAAAGTATCATCTTTTTTTAAAGCTTCCAAGAAAGACAACCACAATAAATGAATGCAAACTATGATGAGCTCCTGAGAATATAAAGACAACAGATAAATTTGCACAATTTGTAAGCAATAATAGGAAATAGAGATTGGTGAATCCAACTTCCAAATATTAAGAATTAAAACAAGAACAGGTTGACACGGGAGACAGAGAGGCCAAGGCCCATTCGACAAAGAGGTATACCCTTTTAAGTGATTAAAAATTGTTAATCGGATAAATGTGCATATGAGACTGCTATGTGATTTTCCAAATCCCAAAGAACTGGATCTATAATATCTCTCAAACGCTCATGTTTTCTGTGACAGAGTCCGAAATCAGTGAGTCGCGTCATAAAATATCACTTACATGGCCAACCCATATCTGTTCAAATAACTCGGTGAATGTAAAGACAGCATCATTTATTATGTAGGATGTATTTTAAGATGCACAAGACAATGTGCATGCATAAAAACCCTGCTTGCTTTCAAGAACATAAAGAATTTATAAAATTTTGCCGAATTCCATGATTGGCAACTGAACACAGACATCGCCTACAAAATCAGAGGAATACCAGACTTGTCAATACGCTCAGAGCCAGCAAGGTCCACAATAACTAGCTTGCTTTTTCGTACAATGGGAGGCTTCAGTGTTTTGCCCGTTACAGTCATGTTTCCATTTTCACTTGGAAATGATGATTTTTTCCCCTTGGCAGACCTCTTTATATGCACCTACAACGAAACAGACATCAGAAAATCAAAATATACACAATCAATACAATGACCTTCCAACATCAAGCAAAAAACAATATCAGATATAGAAAGGGCGTTAAATTCACCATCAGAATGGCATGACTACGTGAGGATTCCGTATTTAATTTTGTGTTCGCAGCAAAACGATGAGCATCCCCTAATTGCAGTAATTCCACAAAACTTTTATGATCCCTAATTTCTACCACAGTCGCCCCAGGTAGAGAAACATCTCCACTTTTTGGATCTTCCACAATAGATATGTTATCATTAGCTGGATTAAGGAGGTCCTGTACCGTTTCCATGTAAAGCTGCAGTAATACATACAGAAAATCAATGCTATAACATGCTTTATGTAAACCATAAAACTGCTGAACTGAACAAAACTCAGGAGCAATTTTCTAACAAATCTAGTATACTGCCGATTCAAAAGGGGCAATTAGTCATAGTTAACAGAACCTGAAAATAAGAAACGCAGACCACATCACTCTCGGGCGATATTTCTGCCAATATATCCTCCATTGCACGCAGCATTATTCCACGATCAGCAGCATCCTTTTCTCCTAGCCGTCCAAGCGTGTAGGTCTTTCCGGTACCAGTCTGCCCATATGCCATCACAGTTCCATTGTAGCCATCTAAAACACTCTGCAGAAGGACAAATGGACTTCATAAATTCTTTCAGAGAATATTGGCATACTCTGAGGTTTAGGGTGTTTACTTTCAAGAATATCATTGAGAAAGGGAAAAACAAACAAAATGCTCTAATATTGTTAAAAAAAAAAAAAAAAAA